TCGGAAAGTAACTAATATTCTTTTGATTTCATGCAAGGTTTGAATTAAAGAATGACACGCGTTCAAGATTGGAAAGTGATGAATCCATATTCATATATTGGAAGTCGGTAATCACTATTTTGTCTTCTCAAATCAGATTTCGGTAAATCGAATAATATTTCGATTTCACGATATGTTCTTGATTAATATAATATGCACATTATCGGTGTAATATCTCCTACAACTTCCTCTAGATACAATCAATTATTGATCAACTATAGACGATTTGTTCAAAAGCCTTGCGTGTTGGATTCTTTTAGGAGAAACTTATGCCGTTATGTTATGAACTAGGAGAACTTTTACTACTACATGAGTTCGTGTGCATCTTGAGAAAGACAAAAGGGTGATATTGTCCTTTCATTGATCAAAAATTTTGATTATAAAAATATTGTGCATAACGTTAGAAATGTTGTTGATTATATATGTGTGTGGGTAAGTGAGTGGCACGTATGCACACTTTCATGACTCGCGCTTTAGATAATTGCATTTATATGTGATATACAAAGTATATATTTGGTACATAACTAGTCATAGCAACGAGCGAGCCACGAGCCGAAACTAGAAGTTCGGGCTCGGCTCGAGCCAAAAAGGGCCGAGCTTTTTTTGGCTCGAGCCGAGCAGAAGTTCAACCAAAAAAACGAGGTTCGGCTCGAGCTTTCGGCTCGAGCCTTAGTAGGTCGAGCCGAGCGACTCGGGTTTTTTTAGTTGGAGAGCTAGATTCGTCACGATTATTTTTAGTTGTAGTATTCTTATATATTTCAATAACTGTGGGCAAGAAAGAAAGAGGGAAATACATATGTTGAAAAGGACCATGTAAAAGTTGGAACATCATCAAATTCTTAAAACCACACAATTTGGAGGATTCAATCAGTGTTCTTCATTCAAACTCTGAAACTGTCCCTTGGGATCATGTATGACTATTCTNACTGTCCCTTGGGATCATGTATGACTATTCTGGATGTACAATTTCATTTCGGAGGAATTAATGAAATCTTGCTTGGTCTTCAAGGGAACTTGAGTAAGTAGTTGATCTTTTTGTTTCGGGGTTTTCAAGAATCACATAATATTGCCGCTTACTTAGCTTTCCACCAATCATTTTATGCCTTTGGCAATATATGAAAGTCAATATTTCAATGGATTGACCATCGAATCAATCAACTTCGGTTATTGAAAAGAAAGAAAATAATATAACTGGTAGAACAAGGAAAGTAAACACAACAAACTACTAGAACTTTCAACATTTTTCATGCTCTTTTCTTGAAGATTAATGGTATGTTATCTTTGTGTTTGAGTTTTGTGTTTTGAATTCGTTTTGAATTTTGTGTTTTGAGTGTCTATTTTGAAATTGTTAAAAATTTGTTCTTTTTGATATTTTGAAAAATTGCTTTGAAAATACATAAAGTATATTTTAAAATTTTTGACTTGATTATAACTGAAAACATTCAAAACGATAAATTTGTTGTTTTGGGTTTTCTTTGTAAATTTTTAACTTGTTTTCAAAAACACGTTGTCGAAAATAGAAAAGAGAATACGTTTTCACTGTTTTGAAAAATCGAAAACAGAAAACGACTTGAAAATGGTAAAGATAACAGACCCTAACTTTCTTTGAAATAGGATTTTCTAGATGAGGTGGTTCAACGTTATATCAAAATTAAGGACAATATCAAAGGTGGATACGCGCCACATGTCAATTATGTAATGTATTATGTAAATCGGGGCTTCGACTGCGGTAAACAAAACAGTATTCAACGAAAGAAATCAAACTAAAATCTTCGTTTATTATAAGATTAATTAACGTATAATTATACTACATATATTTCAAAGCTTTTCTCATTCAAACTTGCCCGTAAATTAGCCGCTTTCTCTGACTATTTTTTTCTTTGAAAATTACCACCTTTCTATCTTTAACACTCTCTCTCTCTATGTGTATATATATATTAATAGATAAGCTTTAGATTTTTGATCCAGCCATTGAAGCACAAATGGATGAGAATATCGAAGTGCCTCAATATTTCTTGTGTCCCATCTCACTGCATATCATGAGAGATCCGGTAACCACCGTTACCGGCATAACGTACGACCGCCAAACCATCGAGCGTTGGCTGTCGACGGCGGAGGACGCCACCTGCCCCGCCACCAACCAGCCGTTGCCAAGAGATTCTGACTTGACCCCGAATCATATGCTACGGCGGCTGATACAAGCATGGTGCGTTGCCAACGCCAAGAATGGGATTGATCTAATCCCGACGCCGAAAACTCCACTCCACAAGTCTACAGTTCTTAATCTCATTCGAAAACTCAATAATCCTGTCATGTATGTGGATTCCTTGAAGAAAATGGATGAACTTGCCAATGAGAATGAGAGGAACCGGAAATGCATGGCCGAGGCCGGATCGGCCAAAGCAATAGTTTTGTTCGTTTTGAAATGTTTCAAGGAAGGTAATATTAAATTATCTCGTCTAAAATTTTAAAAAATTAGAAGTATATATATTTATTTAAATTTAAAGCATATAATTTGGCTTGAGCTTAGATACGTAAAAAAAAAAATAACTTCTTATGTCTAAAGATATTAGGACAATTTATTTTTTCTTACTTTTATGTGAAAATTACTTATTTTGAAAGTAATTCTTGTGTTACTCTCAAAATAAGTAATTACAATAATCAATAAAAAAACATTTATTCTAAACTTATTTACGAGTAAATTTACTTATAAGTAAATATGAGTGGCAACAAGAGGTGAAATTAGGACTTTTTCTTGATGCTATATTAAATTGCATCGTCTGTCTACATGCTTATTTAATTATTTAAATTTTGTGTTCAACAGGTAAAACTATAGGCATCGAGGAAGCCTTGAGAATTCTCCATCTAACGTGGAATCCCGGTACCAACGAAAATCAGCAACTTTTTGAAGATAACCTAGCTCTTGTCGAAGCCTTAACATGGATCTTGAAGAGTGCTGACATAGAAAGCAACGTCATCACGAAAACTCAAGCCCTCGTAGTATTGAAAAAGGTAATCGAAGTAGCGACTCGGAGTTTGCTCGATAGACTAAACCCCGAGTTCGTCAAAGAAATGGTAAAAGTCTTACAAAGTAATGAACTCAAAACTTCACAACAGGCAGTAAAATCCACCTTGCAAATCCTTGTACAAATATGTCCTGTGGGAACAAACCGAATGAAAATCATCAACGCAGGAGCAGTTTTCGAGCTTGTTGAAACCGAACTAGATCAAAACCTCGAATCGAAGAAAGTTACCGAGCTTATATTCACACTTTTAGCACACTTATGTTCATGTGCTGATGGAAGAGCTCAATTCTTGAAACATCCTGCAGGGATTGCAATGGTTTCCAAAAGATTGTTGAGAGTTTCTGATGCAACTGATGATGGAGGGCTTCATATATTTGCTTTGATTTCGAGATTTTCAGCTACAAATGAAGTTCTTGTGGAGATGCTGAGAGTTGGAGGTGTGTCCAAGATTTGCATGGTGATTCAAGCAGATTGTGCAGATGATTTAAAGAAGAAAGCGAGGGAGATTTTGAGGTTGCATTCTAATGTTTGGAGGAATTCACCTTGTATACAAGTTTATCTTTTGACAAGGTATGCTAGATAGCATGCACCTCAAATGAACAACATTAGTGACATGTTTGGTATGATGTATAGAATAGTATTGTATAAGATTAAGAAAGGAAAAAGAAGATTCGATCATTTCTAGTACTAAATACATACCCAAAACATAATTGGAATTCGAGAGAATAATACGATTTTGCATTTGAAAGGACATTTTTAAGAATCATTTTTTAACCGATTCTATAGGACTTAATGTAGTTTAATATCATGTACAAATTCATATCGAATGCATCAATACAAACAAAAGAACTAAAATACCATTAACCCAGAAAAAGAGAATTAAATGTGTTGACCTTGTTTTTTGTTCAGTTGACGTAGACAATAGATATCTTGTCCACGAAAGCTCATCCGACACGTGTAAAAGGATTAGTAATCGATAATGTTTCGAATTTGAATGTAGGAGAACCTAGATAATATGAGACAAAGATGTTCGGGCTTCGGCAAGAAATATAAGCGACGCTGGACGATAAGGAACGATCGACGAAAACCAAACTAAAGATCAAAATCAAGCATCTAACTTTTGCAACAAAAGATAGAATTAAAAAGGAGAGAATATATAGCTTGTAATAGATGTATTGGCATTACCTACAGCTATAAATGGATCAGATGTTGATCGAATCTGTCTATATCCGATCTGATCCGATAATCCAACGAATATTTGATTGTTAAACCATATCCGTTTTGCTATGTTATCGGATATCCGATCTGAAATTAAAGAAATTAGGAAAAAAACAACGTTGGAATCAACTTTTTATTTATTTACTTTTTTACCCAAATTTTCCAATTCTTAAACAGGTTTAGTAATTATAAATTTTTCAATTTTTTTATGTTTTAAATTTGATGACCCTTTTATTCTAAATTTATTTATTTTCTCATTTATTTATTTTAGAGACAAACAATATACCATAAAATATTTTATCGACTCAATTATTTATAACAAATCGAATGAAATTTAACTATATCCATATTTGATCCATTTAGTTAACGAATTATCGAATTCAGATTTTGATCTGGTTATCGAACTGAGATCCCGAATTCATCTCCCATTAATTTCATCGAATTCGGATCAAAATTCAATTCATTAACAGTCCAGCATTACCCCCAAATGACACAAAGGGAGAATACATATAGTGTACATGTGCAATGGTGATCATTGGATGACGGGGCATGTAGTCTCATCTCCTTAATTGAAGCATCTCATCCTAGGATCAATTTTGATCTAATTAGCGGTTGTGCATTGAATGTTCTCAACAAGGGAGGCAACCAAACTAAAACCTATCCTGACAAGATATAAACATTTTGCTCATTACAAGGGGTCAAATCAATCATTCCAACGGGATTTTATAAATTCAGGATCTTCAAATGTGGGTCGTCACTCGTCGTGGTTGAGCTTAGAATTTGACTTCATTACGCTTCACTGCTTTGGCAGAAGAACTTCGTTTGGGCCTTGAATTTAGTGGACTTTGTTAGGTCCTAATTTACGTAGGATGCCACATGACTTCGGCAAAAAGAGGTTTAGTAGATCGGCCACATGGCTTGGGCAAGAAGAGCTTTAGTGGATCGACCATGTGAGGGCGTCGATGGCGAAGCATAACAATAGTCCCCCAAGTCCATATATGGTTTTGACCCCATTTTTGTAATGGTCACGTAGACAACAGATATTGGGCCTCATGTCCATACAAGCAAATTTCAACATGTTTTGACCAGAGATTCAGATGAAAAAGGTTGTTGTTTATGGATGTGGGAGATGCTCTATGGCTCGAAACAAAAGTGTTCAAGTATCGACAATATGATCAAAGATGATTATATATTAATGAACAATCATAAACAACACAACCAAAGTAAAAATAATCTAAACTCAAGTAAACAAGTATGAAATAAACAAGAGTATAGAGCAAGTGCAGTTTTAAGTAGAGTTGCATTAGCAAACAAATATGAAATATCAGCAATTCAAGTGCTTATGTCAACTCCAATTCTCTTTCTTGGGGCTTCCACTTATTTTTTCTTAAAGAACAAATCATTTTTCAAGGGGAAAGTCAAATAAACATTTCGGTAAGCTTTTTCCATGGGAATGTTTGTGGTTGTAATGTAATTTCCTATAGACAACGTTAATCTTTTGACCTCGTTTTTTGTACCATTGACCTCGTGTCCACACAGACTAATTTCAACGCATGTAGACAAATTACTAGTCGATAATATTTCGAATTTGAACGTGGGAGAGACTAAATAATACGAGACAAGTATATTCGGGTGGCAGCAAGATAAATGAGCAAAGTTGCACGATAAGGAACGATCAAAGAAAACCAAACTAAAGATATGATCAAACATCTAACTTTTGCAACAAAAAATCAAACTAAAAGGAAGAGAACATATAGCTTGTAATAGACGTATTGGCATTAACCCAAAATGACACAATAGTGTTACATGTGCAATGGTTATCATTGAATGAAAGGGAGCGTTGTTTCATTTCCTTAATCGAAACATCTCATTCTAGACATATATTTTGACTCAATTAGCCAATAGGGCACTAAATATTCCCAAAAGGGGTCAGTCACCTTATAACCTATGCGACAAGACATAGACGTTTTACTCATTATAAGAGTTAAATCAATCAATCCAACATGATTTCATAAATTCAAGATCTTTAAATATGGGTCGTGACTCGTTCAAACTTCACTTAGGTCCCCCATTCACTTTTCCTTACAATTTTAGTCCACGGCATCAAGTTTCGTACACTATTGGTCCTTCATCGCTATTCTCTTTGAATGTGATCTTCCAATGTTTTAAGAATGATCAAATTGGTCCCACACTTCCAAAAAGGTAGAATTAGTCCTCAAAACCTTCTGAATTAATCCAATTTGTACTTTCAAATATTCCAATCAAATCCAAATTCTTTGATAGCTCTTCAACTTCATCATTTTAGCTTCAAATAAGCTCCAAATTCCTTCATTTTGCTCAATTAGTCTCCAACTTGAGTTTTTACCTACCGAAGCAATATGTATACTAATTAAGTAGATATCCGCTCAAAAAATTAAATATTAAGTATCTTTAAAAGCCTAGATAAGTGTGTAAAATACACTTATCAATAAACGTCTTTTACTATTTGCATTGGGCGAAAATTGATAGAATCTTCATCATTTAATTAATTGTATTATTGGCTCTAAGTCATCTCGACTTAATTAGGATATTAACCCAAAAACATTTATTTATATGAAGTTTCCACATATACACTTTGGTCAAGTTACAGTGTAGTTGATCCCTACCAGTTTTTTTTTTAAAAAAAACTAAGTTACAAAAATATTTATAGTGAAATGTAAGTTTGTCGTCATTCTAACTTACAAACGTAACTTGAAGAAGAAAACAATTGTAATAATCTCTGCACTGAATTCTAATTCTAATAATAGAAAAGTATGAGAATAAACAGTAAAATTTTATGATTCAGTATGAATTCTGTGAACCAAATTTTGTCAATTAATTATCAATAATTTGCTTTTCACAAAATTTATCGCCTTTCGAATTCATTGGAAGTTTGACTTACAGCTTGTAAGAGATTCACGGGTTGTTTGAGCCCAATTTTTTTTTTTTTTTTTTTTCAAAAAATGCATTTTGCAATAGTATTATGATGGAAAATGTGTGGTTAAAAAATAATTAAAAAAAATTGATTTGCGTGTAATATTATTTTATTAAAGAATGTATGATTGAAATGAGTTCAAATCACTGTTCAAAAATGCATTTTGATGGAAAAAATGGGGTTCAAACAATGGTTAAATTATAAAAAGTAAAAATTGGTGAGATACATATGTTTCATTGTTATTGAATG